AACAGCAAATAGGAAGAGCCCTTTTCTCCCCAGCACCACCTGGGGTGACAAGGAACAATGGTAATAAGCTGATGGAGAATAGGTTTAGGTTAGAGATCAGAAGGCAATATTTTATAGTTAGGGTGGCCAAAATCTGGAACCAACTTCCCAGGGAAGTGGTCCTCACCCCTACTTCGGGCAAGTTCAAGAGGAGGTTGGATGATCACCTGTCTGGGGTCTTGTGAACCCAGTATTCATTCCTGCCTGTGGCAGGGAGTCAGGCTAGATGATCTGTTCAGGTCCCTCCTGACCCCCGCTACTATGAAACTATGGGGACTGGAGGGGTGGCACTTTTAATTAGAGCAGCTCCAAGAGCCTATCTAATTAAAGTGCCGCAGCATCTCATGCATCAGTGTCCCTGCCCTCCATAATGGTGGCAGGGGTGCTTGAACTAAAGCTCATTCAACAAGCTTTAGTTAATGCACCCCCACTGCTATTCTGAAGCAGGGGGATGCTGCTACCTGAGATGTACATCGGTATTACAATTTCCACTAAATAAAAATTTTGAAGCAACAAAAGACTGTATTATAGCTAGAGAACTATTCTGGTGCTTAAAAAAAGAAAAAAAAAAAGCAAGTTTCATCAGTACTTCTATGGTTTTTTCTCTAATACTCAACTCTTCCTTTTTAATTTTACTTTTCCTAATTCTTGCTTTATCAATAAGTATGAGATTTTTGCTGTGGCTATCACTTGTCTTTTTGAGGTCAAAGTGGTTTAGTTACACAGCATTTCCTGTGACTTCAGTTGCTGGCATCTGTGATATCCTGTAGTTTCTGTGATTCTGCACAGAAGGCAAAACAAAGCAAAAACCAGCCAACCAAATAAAACAAATAAAAATCATAACAGTTTAAGGTATCTGTACAAACCCTGTTTTTACATTTATTAGCCTACAGGACCTTTCCTGTAGGCAAGAATTAATTCATGTAATTCGTAATTCAACAGTTGCTAGCTTTCTTATATACCAGTGGACAAGATGCGAGGAAGAGACCTTGCCAGGCTCAATATCTCTTTTCAGTAGGCACAGGAGAGAAGGTAGTATGCATCTTAGTCATATACTGAGGACTCCCCTTGCAAGAAGGAATCCCACATGAGAGAGAAGGTGAGACTTCCTTTCATATTGCAAGTGCACGATGCAGGGTGGAAAGTTCTGCCAATTCTGCTTCTTGGCTCCAGATCTTCAAGAAATTTGGAGGAGTCCTCCCAAGGTCAGTTCTTCTGTGCTTCCACTGAAGCCTAATAGAGGGTTTTCTGGGCGTAGAGTGTAGTTCCCTTTGCTCTTTCAAAACTAAAATTGCCATAATGCTGGGTTGAATCTGTCTTTGGAAGCCCGGAGCAAATTGGAGGAAACCTAAATGATATAATTAGTATCAAGTGTTTTATTAATACAGAGGGGAAATGCCAATAATAACCAAGCAGATGTTGAACAGCAGGTAGACAATGCACTTGACAAGTGCATTTAACTAGTTAACATTACTTAAATTTGTATCGCATTTTATGGAATTCATATCAAACTAAATATGCTTTTTGATCAGTTTTTACCTTGTGGTTTAGCTAAGATGAGAAATATCAAAATACCACAAGAGACATTATTTATTTGGTAATCCCAGTAGAGCCAGAACCCAGAATTGGAGCCAGCCTCTCCTTTTCATCAAGTTTTCTATGCTAAATTCAGCCCAAATATCTCTGGACAAAATTCAGCTTAGTGGCCATATCTTTGGATTCTAGTCCAAATGAACCTGCCTTAGATTTTTCCACCAATGTTTTTGATCAGGGCTCAAGCCCTGTCAGCCAGATGCCTAAGCATGCAGATACTTTTAAGCATGTCAGAAGTCTCAGAATGTCAGTGTCTCATGTTCAGTGTCAACCCTGGACAGAACTCTGAATATTACCCAGCCAAGAACTAATACCTGGAATCCTAGACATATTATAAAGCAAATATATAATCAGGATGATGATGATTCACTGAAAACACATTATAAAAATCAATGAAAGAACTCAAGGTTATAAAATAACAGATATGCCGCTGAAAATTTTGTTTTGCTCCGATACAAAAAGAATGAAACCACAATCTGATATATCTAGTCCTATCAGACTATATTAAAATTAATAGGCATGGGAATTGTGAAATCCATCAAAAAGTCACAGTTATGTGGAAGGCTTAGTTCTGTCCATGAAAAGTTTGTGAAAAAAATCAGTGGCACTCAACCTCCGGCCCACAGGGCAACGTCATCCAGCTCATGCGTCTGCTCACGGGGCCAAAACTTTGGCAGTGGGGGAGAGGCGGCAACATTAATTGCTGCTCCCCTGCTGCCAAATCTCTGAACCAATGCAGAGCCCTGCTGGTTGGATGACGTAGCCCTGCATGCTTAATCAGGCTGGTGTATGGAGTCGGGCCCATTTATGGACTGACTGACGCTGTGCACGAACTGCATGCTGGATGAATGGACCCCATGCCTGGTATCCAGCTCACAGCCCTGGAAGCTTGAGCTGAAATAGATAAAAGTAGTCTATATCCAAACAAGCTACTGTTGAAATGTTCCAAGAGAGTTAAAGCAAAAAAAAGACATGCAAACTGCAAAATGCGCACCTTCAGGAGGTCCAATGTTTTGGGGTCTCAGTTTTGCAGCATATTAGTCAGACGCTCCTCTTTTTGAGGAAAGGTTTTCTTGTTAAAGTAGTCAGCAGTGAATTACAAAACCTGACCTAAATTTCTCTAAGTCAGATTTGATCTCTACACTGTAAAGCTAGCAATGATAAGCAACCACAAAGAGCTTCCTATTTCATTGGCTCAAGTGCAGAAGCAGTTTCTGCAGATATGTCTACCCTAAGTGGCTTCAGTCATGGTGGCCTTTGGAAAAGGAACTACAGGAGGTGCTAGACAGAGACCAAAGCTGGAAGAGAGGCTTTAGAACAGGGGTAGGCAACCCCTGGCACAGGTGCCAGAGTGTGGTACATTAAGGCATTTTGCTTGGCACATGTGCCTCAGAGCAGATGGCGGGGAAGAAGCTAAGGCTGCGCTCCCACAGCAAGGATTGGACCCCTTGCAGTTCCCATGCCATCCGCCCCTGGCATGCCAACATCTTACAAGTCGAGGTTGTGGGTGTTTTTAACACTGCCCAAAAATGTTGCCAACCCCTGCTCTAGAAGCAGCTTGAGCAAGGACTGTGACAACACTATTATAAGCAAGAACAAGCAGATACTGATAACCTTTTCTATAGTTTTGAGTAGATGCCACCCACTGCTGATAGGTGTTTTCCCACACAGGCTCTCATTGTCTTTTCAGCTCAGCCACACTCCATGCCAGCCCCTCAGACCTTCCTCCCTGCAGCCTCTTTCATTTTGTCGTTTTATTTATCCTTCCACTAAATTCTCTCCTAACTAGTGGTACTTGCTATCTACTGCTGGAGGTCAGAGCAATCTTGAGACCATATTTTCCCTTTCAGTTAGCTCACTGCTCTCTTTCCCTAACCAGTGTCTGTCTTCACTTAGCTCTATAAGCTACAGGTACTATCTAGTACTTGGTTGAGCACTTAGCAACTAGGGAACCCAACCTTGATTGGTCAATAGGTACTACTATAAAAAAAAATGGATACTGTTTAATAATATGTCAGCCCGATTTATACTCAGATTAGTGCCTTTCAGTTCCAGAATATCTAGCAGAAAAGAAATGATCCTGTTTGAAATTGTGACCTCTTGCAGCAAAGGCAGCTTCACAAAGTCCCCCCTCCTTCCACTTACAATTATTCAATTCCAGAGTATGTAGGTATTTTCTAGATGATACCACTAATCCCCAGAAGCCTATGGACCTTCCCCCCCCCTCGCCCCCCCTCTGCTTTGTTTCAGACATCCTGGAAAGAGAGAGTCAGCCACTGAGAAAACCCATGCTGGCTTACACTTGTGGGATCCAGTAACCTCAAAGGTATTTCTCCAGTTTCCAGCAGAATAGATTCCCCATGCATGCAGATCTATCAGGCCTTCTGGGTGTTGCCTCCTTTTGTCCTTCTTCAATCACAAAGATGAAGTACATAAAGTTAAACTGCAGAAAAAAAACAAAACAACTATCACCACACAGCTGATAAACCAGCCCTGACAGTTTTCAGGTTTTGGTGTCTTAGTAACTGTCAACAGGAATTAAGTTTTAGGCAGTCAGTGAAAGACTGGCATTAGTTTTCTGGCTAGATTCCTTGGACTATAACACCTTCTACATTTGCACCATCTCTTATGGGAATAAAGCTGGAAGATCTTGCTGCATCCAAGATCCACTCAAAACAATTTGAGGGGAATTAGAAGAACGCAGACAGACATCCACATTTCTGGCCCCTTGAGCTGTCCTCAGACAATGGATGGTTCTTTGGAGACTACTGCCAGCCCAGGCTATGCTCACCTACATTTGGGTGAGGTCCAGGCAGAGTCAGTGGACAGCCCAAGTGCAGCATCTCCTCTCCCCTCCTTGCTCTCCCTGGGTTGTAGAAAAGGGCAGTATAAAAATCTGCAGGAGGTAAGAGTGGGCCAGATCCCCTTGTACCAGCCGAGCAAAGAGAGGAAGCATAACTGAAAGGGAAAAATATGGCCTCAAGGTTGCTCTGACCTCCAGCAGTAGATAGCAAGAACTTCTCTACTGACCAGATTTGGCACAATAATAGAAAACAAGGGTTGGAAGGGACCTCAGGAGGTCATCTAGTCCAATCCCCTGCTCAAAGCATGACCATCCCCAACTAGATCATTCCAGCCAGGGCTTTGTCCTGCCAGGCCTTAAAAACCTTCAAGAACAGAGATTCCACCACCTCTCTAGGTAACCCATTCCAGTGCTTCACCACCCTCCTAGTGAGATTTTTTTTCCCTAATATCCAACCTAAACTTCCCTTGCTGCAACTTGAAACCACTGCTGCTTGTTCTGTTATCTGCCACCACAGACAGTCTAGCTCCATTCACTTAGCAGCCTTTAACTATTTGAAGGGTGGTTTCAATCAAATCCCCCCTCAGTCTTCTCTTCTGCAAACTAAGTAAGCCCAGTTCCCTCAGCCTCTCCTCAGAAGTCACGTGCCCCAGCCCCCTAACCACTTTCATTGTCCTCCACTGGACTCTCTCCAGTTTGTTCACATCCTTTCTGTAGTGGAGATCCCCAAACTGGACACAGTATTCCAGATGTGGCTTCACTGGTGCAGAAGAGGAGAATAATTACTTCCCTTGATCTGCTGGCAACACTTCTACTGGCCCAGTATGCCATTAGCTTTCTTGGCAACAAGGACACACTGTAGACTCATATTCAGCTTCTTGTCCACCATAACCCCCACGTCTTTTTCTGCAGAGCTGCTGCTTAGCCAGTTGGTCCCAAGCCTGTAGTGGCGTATGGGATTCCTCCGTCTTAGTGTAGGACTTTGCACTTTTCCTTGTTGAACCTCCCGAAATTCCTCTTGGCCCAATCCTCCAATTTGCTCAAGTCACTCTGAATCCTTGCCCTATCCTCCAGCCTATCTACTACTTCCCCCAGCTTGGTGTCTTCCACAAACTTGCTGAGGGTGTACTCCATCCCATCTTCCAGATCACTGATGAAGATATTGAACAAAACCAGTCCCAGGACCACTCCCTGGGACACTCCACGTGATACCGACTGCCAACCAGATGTCAAGCCATTGATTGCTACCCGTTGAGCCCAATGATTCAGCCAGCTTTCTTTCTACCTTTCTATCCACATAGAGAGAATATACTTTCTCTGGCTTCACGCCACCACAAACTGCCCTCCCATATCAGTTAATACAGCCTTATATCAGCTAGAAGGTCCACTATAAGAATCTTCAATTGATTTTCAAAGTCACCGTTATATCTCCCATTTGCACTTCTGACTTAAAAGGGACCATGCATCTGGCCAGGCTTCCTCTGTAGTCACTTACAGGTCTATGATAAATTATCAGGGACACAGGAGATAAGTATAGTCAACTCCTTGCCTTGCCTTCTCTGCCTCTCTTTGGAGGACAGGTTTTCTCCACTGTCCCCTATGATTGCACACCCTGTTATTTATGTCTGTGGTTGGGGACAGGGGGGATTCCAGCTACCTGAAAATGGTTTAAATCCCAGTCTGGGAGCTACTCTGAACTCTCAGAGCATTTTTACTCCGTTTACTGTCACCATTGACATTTTCAATAAGTTAACCCTGGAGCTCCCCATCAGCTGAAAAATCACAAAAATTCTTGTGTGTACAAACAGGGAAACTTCAATGCCAGCTTCTTCAAATGTAGTGCTTCCAAGCTACAAATTATTGGGTAGATTCCTATGTGTCATCTCCTAACAGATACTGTTCCAAATCGGATTGTGCACCTTTACATTGCTTCATCCCCTGCCTTTCCCAGAAATACCTTCATACCCCTCCCCCACAGAAGATTTACAACACTCTAAAAGCCAAAAGCAACTCTGCCAGAAAATCTAGCTTTTCTTAAATATCTGATCTATGCTATGTTTTGCTGGCCTAGCTATGTTGGCTCACTGTCCCTTAGTCAACACAGCTGTGCTGGAAAAACTCCTGGCATAAATACAGCTGTGTTAACAGGCAGAATACTCGTCAGCACAGCTTTATATTATTTAGGGAGGTAGTACAGCTATGGCAGCAGAAACACCCCTTCTGTTAGCACATGCTTCATCTTCACTGCCAACACAGCTCCAGTGGCAGAGGCTTTGTAGCATAGATGAGCCCTTCAGCCCTGAGGATCATGCTCCCTCCCCTATCAGTTATGCTTTTTCCCCACTGGCATTTCCTTGCACATACCTGGGACATTTTCCAGCCCTCTAACATCTTCCTTTTTCTACTGAATTTGCATGCCATCACTTTGGAGCCATCAAAAGAAAATTAAATAGCTATATTTTCAGTAATCATAAGCATCTTCATCTAGGAATCTCACTAACTCCACATGACGTTTGATTGTTCCTGCTTAAGAGGAAGTCGCGTGAACACAGTGTAAAACAGTGGAGAGTAAAGCATTTGTCAAAAAGACAGTTTTGTCCTGATCTCTCAACAGGAAGCTGATGTTGCAGATGCTGATCCCTTTTTCAACTGGATTAAGCTTATTGACAAATTCATGCAGGAAAGGTCCATCAGTAGGTACTAACCCTCTGAATGCTGGCAGCTGCAGTAAAAGAGAAACGGGGTAGAAAATTCTGGACAGGCCCTGTTCATGCTTTTCCACAGCAACCACTCTAGTAGCCTGTGTCACAGTGACAAACTAGCCACACCTACTGTCTGATCCAGGAAATGGCAATTCTTATATTCTAAGACACAGTTTACAGCACTGCTAACCAGTGACCACCCTTTGGCCAATTCAAACCTCTGTAGGCAACTATGTGAAACTCTGAGCACAGAAGGAATAAACTGCATCTGTGGACAAGGGAAGAAGGCACCTGAACAAACAGAATTTCAGTTCCAGATGGAGCATATTCGTCCTGATTCATCTTCTTTCTTTCTGCAAATGTGTTGGAATTAATTTGTCTCTACGGCTCTCCCTCACTAGTTGAGCCTCTTAGAAACCATGTTTGCTCCAGAAAGGCCATATGCATCTAAAGTGGATGCACTGCAACCCTTCCAGTATTTTGAACCATTGCTCCAATGCGGAATGGGCCTCTAGGGGGGGGTTTGATTAGCTCCTGGTTTTGTCTAAGCAGGAAGTGATGCACAGGCAAGATTTAACACTAGATCTGTGCATACCCTGTTATAGTCACTGAAAGTTTCCTTTTGGCACAGCTCACTGCTTGGCCCAGGTTCTAGATTCCAAATCAGGAAAAGGGGACTCTGAATATTAAGAACCTTTTTTTTTTTTTCTTTCTGGTGCTTCCCGCAGAGTTTGGCAGAAACTCTGGGGATGCTGGGTGCAATGGGTATTTCTGGCAAAATGATCCTTCAGACTTTACCTGCAGAATTTAATGCTGTGTGCACTAACTTCTGCAAATGCTCTGTTCCACCAGATCTTCAGGCCTCTTTGAAGGAGCACACTGGAGGCAGCAGCCAGTGGGAAGCTTACTGAATGATGTATGCTACAGGAGGAAGAAGAAATGCTGAGTTCCCATTCAAATGAACCTGCATGTTGTTACATGTCCTATTTCACATGTAAATAACACTTTATATATTCATAGCACCAAAAAGATATCTGACTAATTCTCACAATACCTCAGCAAGGTATGTAGGTACACATTAATTATCACAGTTTTACAGATGAAAGAACCAAGGCAAAGAGGTGAAGTTAGCAACACCACAGCTGGGATTAGAGCTCAGGACAACCTGATACAAACCCTTCACCCTTTTCTCTAAAATAGCTGTTCTGCAATTTTCTGAAGAGTCATGAGTTTTATTTGGAGATCTTGATGGGTATTTCCCACCCATCAAACAAAATTCACACTCCCAAATAGCATAAAATGGAAGACTCTCAAACTCAGATTTTCCAAATACCTTTGCGGCCTAAGAAAGTGATTTATAGGTTAAAACTGAGAAAAACTATTAATTTAAGTAGCTGCTATTCAGTAATCTACAAGACCAGGCAGCAATTTATATTGGGATATTGTATTTTGTATTCACATAGGACTTTATATCCAGTGATTTCAAAAAGCAAGTATTCCTAAATTCTCACAACACCTATATAAGACATTAAGCACATACTTCCATTTTATTGGTTAGGTAGCTTACAACACAAAATTACCTCGTCCAAGTTCATATCCCAAGTCAGCTGAGACGTGGACACTGAAGCCAGAACTTGTAACTCTGGATATCTTTCTTTGATCAGGGAGTAATATGCTATTGCTGTCACCATGAGCTTAATTTGTTATGAAACATGTACAGAATTAAAAAAATAATTGTACCAGTTGTGTTACTGGTATCTTAAATATGGTAGGCTAGCAAGAAGCAAAATAATACTCATTTTGTATTTAGACTGATAGCTAAAAAGTAATGGAATAACAGCAACAACAGGTTCCACGGAAAAACAGTTGTAGTAAATTTGTTTGAGTCAATAAGTTTGTGTTTTTTTCATTTCTTTCTTTTCTAGCTATTATAAGTTTACAAAAAGCCCAGGAGAGAAGGGATTTTCCCTTGACTCCTCAATACAATGGAATTAGAATAAAGTGAAATACTGAGGGAAATCATGACTTTTGAAGTCATGCAGATAAGGATCAGTCTACTTTTGAATTTAAAAGAACCTCGTGGGAGAGAACAGATATTGTCTAACTTTGACTTCAAGCAGGATATACACTAGTCATCTCATTAAGATGTTCCGTTATGTCAGAAACATTATTTCCCACCAAACTGTTTTGTCAAGGTCCCTAATATTTGATATCGTATTAATATGGGAGAAGAATGCAACTCACATGAAAAAAAATGAAGTTGCAATATTCCTAAAAACCTTAGGACACCTGCCAAAATGACAATGCAATTATAAATAATATCAGCAAGGGAAGGAAGGAAAAGTATAGATGCTTACTTTTAGTAAGCACAGATATTTACAGCCAACAGCTACCTTAAAAATCCAGGGGCATGATGATATGACCGGGAACCCAGGGCAGCTGCCACATACAGCAGCAAGAGGGAACTTATGGTTGTTGCCACACAGCTGGTGTGATCATGTGACTGGAGTAACAGCCTTTTTCCCCCCAGATCTCTTACCTGCAAGGTATCACCCAGGATGCCCCACCCTAGTTACACAAGGCTCTTTGGATGAATCTGATATCCTTTATTAGGCCAACTTACATAGTTAGAGAACAAATTTTAAGCAAGCTTAACCACCCTAGCTACATCACTGTGAGAACCAAATACCCTGATGCAACTCAGATAGACTTAAAGGAAGTAAGAACATAGGGATCAATGTTCCTCTCTACCAAGGAAAATAGAGTCAGCAGAAGCTGGTGGAAATGGCTGAGGAACAGAAGATACAAGGGCTTTAGGACAGTCTCCCTGCTCCTCGGGGATCTTGTGGGATGTAATATTCCTATTCAATTGGCTAAATGGCTGGGAGGGAGACAAAGAGCAGTAACTTTCTGCAGCTTTCTCCAATCTCAGAAAAGTGAACTGAAAACAACATATGAAAACTTTTGATAGAAAATTGTGATTGCCACCTGCAAAAGCAAAACAAATATTAGGAATGTTGTTTGAAGATACATACCAAGTTCAGAGTTGACTACATCTCAAGGCACCTACAAAATAATTAAAAAATGATAGGGCAACAGTCTTAATCTCCAGGCAGGCCTGTTCTGAGTGTGAGTTTGCTCTGATAAACACATTGCTGTACAATGCTGATAAGTCATAACAGTGAGAGACATGTTTAAGACTGAACACCTGGGTTTGGGTTCAACTTCATTATGTTTAGTGTTCTTGGAAGAAGACCAGACACTTACAGCCTTTCAAATTAAAGATGCTTTAAGGTAGATTATATAAACAAATATGGATCTTATAATATGAAGTTAAAGGGGGAGAGGGAGAAAAAGAATGGCACATAGGCATTGTGCAAGAATGCTCAGTGATGAGCTTTTTATAAGACAGATGTGTACATATTGCATATATTGGTTTGTTTCACTTTGTTTTCTTTTCCTGGCCTCAAGGCCAGAAATCTACTTTGATGAGTATCAACATGTCCTGTGGCTCAACCTAAAAACTCAAGGCAGGTGAGTGACTCTTCTCTTGTCCACAACATTTTCTGCAACACATGCCACATCCTGCTGAAGTGTTGGGATTTGTGCGTAGCGCTAAGGTATGTGGGGACATAGCTCAGGTTCTCTAGCACAATACAGAGCTAGGAATTGGTCTCTGATGCATTGTGGGGCTATCTGACATTCTTCAGTAGTCATAAAGGCCAAAGTTATCACAGCCCACCATTGTAGGAAGCTCCATCAGCCCAGCATACTAATCAGTTATGTGTGTTTGTAGAAACTTGATGCATCCATGGACCACTGAAAGAGCGCATGTGGTGCTAAGCTCATGAGAGCTGTAGACAGAAGCTAGTGCGCTCATTCCTTCCTCTTTCAATCCACACACTGAATGACAACTTCCTTGATTGTTCACCTAAAACCAGCTCTGGTTAATGATTATTTCTTTCTGCTGAACTCAAGAAAGGGTACAGAAATTATGCAGGATGTGCCTTGGAAATAATGTGTTAGCCTGCTTTTCCATGTAATAGACTTCACAGCAGAGTGGGACCTGATGGAACAGCCCCTTCTAGACTAGGAGAGACTGACAGTGGAGGGCCACCACTTGGACTACTAATGAGTCTAACTGGATTTGTGGATTTGTAGTTGGACCAAGTTCTGGGCCTTCATAAATCAGGCAATTATTTTTGGGGGCTATGGAGTTGGTCTAAATCTTAAATCACTGTTTGGTGGCGTAAATTTTTGAGTCTACACCTACAGAAGGTTTCACCTTTTCCCATTCCTTTGAATAGAAATGATACTTGTGACTCCATGTTCTGAATGGCTCACAAGTGGGGAAAAATCACTGGTAAAGGTAACTAGGTGGCTTTAATTTTTGGGGTACCAAAAGCCAGTGAGGTTCTGGATGGGGATTCAATGCATGTGATTATTTTAGAAAAGGCTCCAGTCAGGCCTGAAGGTGGTCCATATTGCTATCATTAGTATCTGACAAAAGGATGGCACACATGTGATAATCCTCTTTAATACATGCAATGAATATCAATCAAAAGATTAAATGAAAATGAATACATATAGAATATTGGGATTCTGGGCCAAATCTCAAGTACAGGCAAAGCAATACCTGGGAGAGGAACAGGGGTGTGGATGGAAAGTGAGACTCGGCATGCCTAGGAGCCAAACCTAAAAGCCTAAAGGCATTACTTTACAGTTAGGGTGACTAGGACCTGGAACCAACTTCCAAGGGAAGTGGTGCTTACTGCTACCTTGGGGGTCTTTAAGAGGAGGCTGGACAGACACCTGACTGGGGTCATATGACCCTAGCATCCATTCCTGCCCAAAGCAGGGGGTCAGTCTGGATTATCTGTTTAGGTCCCTTCCAACCCTAGCTACTATGATACCATGATAAAAACACTGCTGTTCTAGAGTGGTCCTCCAGGTTAAGCTGTGTTTGCCAAAGATTGTTGGATTGCAGTGTGCTCTGAGTCCATCCCATCATTCATTTTTCTTTTTCAAAGGTTTAAAGTCTTTCAGGATGGGAAGAGGGACAGTGTGCAAATCTGCAGATCTGTTGGGAAAAGAGAGATGCTATTTTGACTCTTGTTACCCTCCTTGGCTCTGATAGGTTTACTGTCCCTTGTAGTTCTGAATTACCTTCCTTCCTTACTCCTAGGGAAGGCATGGAAACAAGTGAGTACTCCTAGGCATTCTGGCAATATTGCACAATTGGATTGATACTTCTTCCACAGGAAAGTATCAAGCATTAACTATTGGCAGAGGCAATAGTTAATACCTGATACAAGCATTAACTATTGGCAACGTACCACTTGAGGCACTAGATGTGGAATCTGCAATTGCTAGTTTTATTAAAAATAATATGTATTCAACAGGTTGTCTCCTGCATCTGAAACAAATATGATAAAAATTCAAGTTTTCAAATAGTTTTCTCTATGCTTGGTTTCACTGGTCCCACTTTACATAACATATATTTACATATATGCAAGTTCTGGTATTCTCATTGGGTCACAATTTGGTCTCCTGCTTTCTAAGCCCATTGTTACATATTTAGCAGTATGTGAGCTCCCCCTTGTGCCCAAGCAATGCTACTACAAGGCCAGAACTATGAAGTAACACTAGTAAGAGACATGTTGCAATAATCAGATCTTCAAAGAGATAGGAGACAGCTGGATAGTTGGGAATTGTTTATGACTGGTGGTTAAGCTTCTGGGTAGAAGTGAGAAGTAATGATCACAACATTTTAGAGATTTTTCAGGGCATTTGGACATAGCACAAAGGAAGGAACCAAGGAAATGGAACTGAGGAGTAAGAAAGATAAGTCCTGTCTAGAAGATAAGAAGACAGGATAAGTCCTGTCTATTGCAAATCTGAATCAGGGAAGAAGCTAATGTATTATAGAATTTCCTAGAGAATTCAGGATGGCTGAAGCTAAACAATTATTTTATGTGTGTCTAAATTCCTTGAAGAATAACTGCTAAAAATATGTCCACAAGCGTTATCTTCCCCTCGTGAGCTAGGGACAGACATTACACATACACTGGTTTAAGTGATCAGAAACTTGTTTAAACCTCTAACAGAACAAATGTTCACTGCACATAAACCAGTTTTACCAGTTTGAGATAAACCTGGTTGAATGTAGCATCAGACTTAACTGATTTGGCTCAAACCCGTTTATGCGATGTGTCCCCCAGACCCCTTGCTGATTTAAGTTAAATCAGAGTCCCCCAGCATCTCTACATGTCTCTGGGCTGGGTGGGGCTCTTTGCTTCCAAGAGCTGGGCTGGCCCCTCCCCTTTGCTCCCTGGCTGGAGCTCAGCACAGACTTGCAGGCACAGCAGGGTCTGCTGGCTTCCCCGTGCTCCCCTCTGCCCCCTCTCACCACTCACTGCTTAAGCAGAGATCCCTTTCTGCTCTCTGCCACAGCACAGACCATAGCCAGCACATGGTATGCTAGCTAATGCCAAGAGGTGTCTATATGTGTCTCTCTCTCCAATTTCATTGGGACAGGCAAACAGAACAGTGACTGCTTAGGGTTTCTGGAGCTAATCAACAGATCAGCCACTAAACTGTTTAAGAAGTTTGAAGTAAGTTGGAAGGAGGCTATTGTTTTGCTAATCAGATGATAAAGACTATTATCAACGCCCCCCGCTGTTCCCTTCCCTTCCCTCCCCGGCTGCCTTGCTCGTCTGTCAGTTTGCTGCAGACAGTATGACAAAGCAGGGAGAGAGACTGAAAAGCTCCATATCATCAACAGATGCATGCACTGCACACCCCTTTGCCTCAGAGTGCTAGCCCAGGATTAGGGGCTGACAACACTCACGCCCCTTGAGCAGCCAGCAGGGAAAAGCCTGGGACCGTGCAGGCAGTCCTCCCTAATGAGAGAGTCCTGCAGGGGCCTGGCCATGCCCCCTTAGCTCAGCTCCCTGCAGAAGGGAAGGGAGGGCTGCTCTAGCGCCCTCCGGCTTCTAGCCTGAGCCACTGCAGGCATGTGCCTGAATTTCCTCAGTCCAGAGAGAATGTCTGTCCAGTTTCAAACCAGTTCAGTCTGGCCAGGTTAGACTAACCCACAAAGACTGAATCAATTCAGGCTTAGGTTTTTTTGAGTGTCTGTCCCTAGCCACCCTTCGCTGAAATATTGTCCCCCTCAGTCTTCTCTTTTAAAAACTAAGCAAAAGCATTTATTTCAGTCTTTGCCTATGGATCATATTTTCTACTACTTGTTTCTTCTATTTCTTTTATTTCTTGTTGCTCTCCTCTGAATTCTCTTCTCTAGTTTTACAACTTTCTTGAAGCACACTGCCCAAAAACTGGACACAGTGCTTCAGTTGAGACTTCACTAATACCAGAGAGTGGTATCACTTCCTAGGTCTTGCGCAGAAAATTCTTGTTAACTGATG